GCAAACTTTGCCACTGACTCTACAGCCCCATCTAGCTGATCTTTATATGTTTATTTATTATTTTTATTTATTTAATGTTATTGTTTTATTTATTTTTTACTTTTTACATTTTCAACTGGTTAGAGTTGAAGTAACATTTATTTTTCACAAACCAAAGGTATTTATTTTTCTTGACATTGTATATGGCTGAGATATATATTGTAAAAGTTCAATGGTAGCGATAAAAGCATTTTCAACTGGCCAGCCAATAAATAGGTTTGGGCTGTACACTGGGCTGTATGAGGTACTTCTCCATCCTGCAGTAAACTTGGGTCGGCACGCTCCCAGGTTGGAGAAGTAGACAGGAGTATCAGCACAGAAGCCGAGCCATGTGCTGCTGTGGATGATAATCCCAATTATCCCTTTAATGTTTTCTGCATAATGTGTTTCTGTCCTGGAGGTCAGTTGATGTTACTGTCAAAATGCAATAAGAGAGAAATATTTTTCACATTATGTTCTTGTTAATGTTCTTTCTGTATTTCTTTTGAATCAATACTATTATTACCATCACCCTTGCATTACCGTTGAAACAAACTGATTTCCTGATTTACAATGTTGATGTTTTTTTTACATAACAAAATTTAAAACAAACAAACAAACAAACAAACAAACAAACAAACAAACAAACAAACAGAAACACCGAGCGATCTGATTGGTTGTAGGAGTGATCTATGTGCAGCAGGCGGCGGTAGTGCGACACAAAGGAGGTCCAGCTGCCATTAAACCGCCGAAGAAGAAGAACAAGAAGAAGAAGCAGAAGAAGAAGAAGAAAAAGAAGAAGGAGGGTCGTTAACGATGGCAGCAGCTACCTCAGAGCTACGGGTGGATCACCTGCCTTCAGACCCGCTGCTGCACATTTTATCCTTCCTGGGCTTCAGGGACCTGATCCAGTAAGTGTCCGACACCAGAACCCGGTGACTCCGACACACTCTTTTTACTGGGTTTTAATAAAACTGACGTGAAGAAGCTGCGGGACGGAAACAAGCTAACGGCTACTGCTAACAACAACAACCCGCAGCAACAAAAAAAAACCGGCACGTAGAAATATTCCTACAAACATTAATATAAACATTAATATCGTGAGTGAAAATACATGTAAGTGAAGTTATTGTCGGTGAATAAAGTAAAGCCGAAGCTGTCAGCTCCAAACATGGTGACTCCCGGCAGCAGCAGCTAGTTAGCTTAGCATGTAGCTTGTGTTTTTGTTTTCGTTCTTATCTCGAATAAAAAGTGTCAGAAACTGTTTATCATCCGTTTATACAAACTAATATTAAGTAAAACAACTCTTTAATTACTTAATCACGTTTAAAAACGCTCGATAATAAGATACAGATCCTGTTTATTACATTAATATCATAATATGATAATTATTATTACAGCACGTCCAAATGTGAGGTACTTGTACTTGAACTTGAGTATTTTCATGTCTTGCTACTTTATACTTCTACTGCTCGACACACAAATATCCAACAGCAAATAAAAGTAGAGCTGAAACCATCGTTTTCATTATCATTTAAAATGATTTCAGCTTCTCAAACGTGAGGATTTGCTGCTATTCCTTTTAATTAATGTAATGATTTTAATCTGTTTTTAATTATTTTGAGGTTTGGACTGTTGGCTGGAAGCTTTGTGAATGTGACAAGAATTTTCTGAATTTTAAAACCAAACAATCGATTAATTTAGAAGAGTTTATCCCATTATAAAATTAACAGTAAAATGCTGTTTACATATCAATGCATCAGTAATGATAAGTTAATAATATAATATATAACAATCAAACACTCACAGGGGACATTTTACTACTAAGATTACCTTTATTATTTTAAGTGCAGTTTCCAGATTGCACTTACATCATTTTGCCTAAGTAACAGTCTCAGTGCAGTATTTTCACTGCGTGGTATTAGTACTTTTACTTAAGTAAAGGACGTGAGTACTTCCTCCAACACTGCAGCTCTCACACCAGAGGAACCGTCAGAGCTGCAGAGAAAATATGAAATGGTTTATATTCACATCTTGAAATAAATAACTATCTTTGTCCGTCTTTCTCTCCTCTGCAGTTGTAGTTATGCGAGCAGGAGGTTGAATGAACTCTCCAAACACAACCCGCTGTGGAAATCCCTCTGCTCCAAACACTGGCTGCTGACAGAGTGAGTACTGTCTCCTTCAGCGGGAGGGAGGGGAGGGGAGGGGTTTCTGCAGGAGACTGTTGAGCAGAAGTGTGGGGTAGACACACAGACACATGTAGGTATCAGTTGAGTCAGTAGCTGAACAACAGCGGTTCTTAATTATTTCTGCTGAGTGAAATATCACCCCTCTTATTCTTTGTCTCTTCATGTTTTTGGAGACAGATTATTTCAACTCCTATTTATCGTTTATAATCTGTGTGTGTGTGTGTGTGTGTGTGTGTTTCCGCGCAGTGCGGACCGGCTGCAGAGCGGCGTGTCCTGGTACTGTCTCTTCAAACAGTACTACAGGGACCTGGGCCGCTACATCCAGTACTACCCGGTGCTGAAGAGAGCCTGGGAGCAGCTGAAGAGCTTCCTGCAGCAGAGGTGTCCACGCATGATCGCATCGCTCAAAGGTGACGCAACGACAACAGTGTACACCACTCTGGGTCCAAACAGCACGACCCAAACATCAGTCTGACTTCAACAGTCAGACTGATAGTGAGGTGATGTAATAAACTAATAAAGGAGCAAAAACAAACGTGTTGCGTATATGTTTATTAGCTTCAGTGTAACTGTTCATTTTCCCAACAGATGAAAACAAAAGCATGTTCTCTGAAAGAAGCTAAACATAGAACACATCTGATGACATTTTTCTGATTCTATTTCAGATTTATTTTGTTAAATGGAGAAAAATACTGACACAATTTTTTATTTTATTCATAAAGGATCTTTTTAAATAACAGTTTTTACCAAATGAAGACAGTCAATTGTTTCACCAGTAAATCGCTTTGGTGTGAGGAATTTTCTTTCATTCAAACTTCATTCACACATTTCTTTTTTTTCCTTGATGAAAAACCTCTTGTTAATCACAGTTGCTTTCGTATGAATAAAGATCTTCCTCCATAACGTTGTTCTTTGTTTGCTTCCTCCTCAGAGGGCGCCACAGAGGTGGAGCTTAACGACATCGAGGCTCAGATTGGCTGCAGACTTCCAGACGACTACCGCTGCTCGTACCGCATCCACAACGGACAGAAGCTGGTCATCCCAGGGTCGGTGTCTGTCTCGCAGAGTCTCCCTGAGGCCGGTGGTCTCCCTGTCTAACCTCCATCTGTCTGTCTGTCTGTCCGTCTGTCTGTCTGTCCTCAGGCTGATGGGCAGCATGTCCCTGTCCAACCACTACCGGTCGGAGGTCCTGCTGGACGTGGAGACGGCGGCCGGCGGTTTCCAGCAGAGGAAGGGGATGAGACGCTGCCTCCCGCTCACCTTCTGCTTCCACACCGGACTCAGCCAGTACATGGCTCTGGAGCCCGCGGAGGGACGCAGGATGTTCGAGAGCTTCTACCCCTGCCCCGTCCGTAACCTTCCTGTCTGCCTGTCCTTTCAAAATAAGTCACTTTACAGACAGGAAAAAGCTTCAAAACTTTGGACTGAAACATGAAACTAACTAAACAAACTAACAGAGGTTTCTGTGGAATCAGTCATGGCCACGTTATAGCGCTTCATGTTAAACTGTGGTGACCTTTGACCTTGGATTTCTCACCTAAAATCGACTCTTTTTTCATGATCAAGACCAACATCAGGATGTTTGTGTGTCCATGCGCTGAAGTCTGTCCTGTTGACTCAAACAAAGACGTCTTTTTGTCTTTCAGGATCAGACGGCTCAGGATCCTTCAGCCATCGACATGTTCATCACAGGTCGGTTCATTCACCTCCTCTGCGCTTCAGGTGAAAGAGACAGGTGTACGTGCAGGTGTTCTGAACACAACAGGAAGTTAGTTTTTGTAGTCTGGCCGTCAGCAGTTGGGAGGAGGTTAAGGTGACACTCAGATCTGAACACACAGACATTTTTAGATTCAGTATGACTTCCTGTTCCCGGGGATCTGATGTCCCTTCAGAATAAAGCTCCAGAAATCCACGTAGAAACCAGAGAAAAAAGAGGCTGCAGAACTTCATTGAGAATCCTCCTGTTTCCGTCAGTGTCACAGTGTCACAGTGACCCAGTGGTCAGTGACTACATGTAGTGATCTGACTGTTAACGTCCCCCAAAGCATCATGGTCACTGTAGTTCAGTGTCCCATCATCAGGTCAACATTTAAAATACTTTGGTTTCTTTCAGTTTGCATAAAAACCTTTCAGTCATTTTTCATAAATCTGTAAATACAAGACTGAAAAGTTTGACCTTTAATCATCCAATAACAACAGAAATGACAGTTTCATTGAAGCAGGGTGTATTTGTTGTGTGTCGATAACCTGTTAACCACATTCAAGTCTCATAGTGGAACAAAAACTTGATTCGTCTGTAACTGTGGCCACGTTCGTGTGCGTTCAGGTTCCTGTTTCCTGGAGTGGTTCACCACTTACGTCCACAACGTCGTCACAGGAGAATATCCAATCATCAGAGACCAGATCTTCAGGTAACACACACATATTAAAGCTTCATTTAAATCCATTGGTGACACCACAGGCAGATTCAGAGATGTGTGTGTGTGTGTGTGTGTGTGTGTGTGTGTGTGTGTGTGTGTGTGTGTGTGTGTGTGTGTGGTCCGTCCTTGTGTCTGCAGGTATGTGCACGATAAAGGTTGCGTGGCGACCACCGACGACATCACCGTCTCTGTTTCTACCTCCTTCCTGCCAGAACTTTCCTCCGTCCATCCTCCGCACTTCTTCTTCACCTACCGCATCAGGTACCCGTCTGTCTCCGCAGTGCAAACGGCACATGTTAAGTGGTTCTTCTTCTGTGTTTTAATTAAGTGGCTCTCTCAGAATAGAGATGTCGAGCGGCGCCTCGCCTGAAGCTGCCTGTCAGCTCGACAGCCGCTACTGGAAAATCACCACCTCCGACGGCAACGTGGAGGAAGTTCAGGGACCCGGCGTGGTCGGTACGCTGCTCCCATCACACGACCACCCGCGCAGCTCGACTGTGATTGGCTGAGATGAGCCGCTGAATTCATGTCTGTGTATCTGTGCAGGAGAGTTTCCGGTCATGACGCCCGGAAAGGTCCACGAGTACTCCAGCTGCACCACCTTCTCCACCCCGTCTGAGTACATGGAGGGGCACTACACCTTCCACAGGCTCGGTAACAGCTGCTCGCTGTTTATGATCCATATGAGTCTTTATTATGTTCATGCTTGTCTCATGGAGACGTGAGAAGTTCAACGACAGTCAAATATGTCACAGTGAAAACAGCAGGATCAGATTGTTTGTCATCAGGTTTTATTCCTGATGTTTGTTTCTCTTGTAGCCAATAAAGAAGAAGTTTTCCACGTGGCCATCCCCCGTTTCCACATGGTCTGCCCCCCCTTCAGAGAGCCAGTGGTCCGAACGGTAAAAGCAGCAATTATTCTCCTACATTCAGAACTTAAGATTTGAAATTGATGTGTTTTGATTTAACAGCTGAAGTTTGTTCCGTCTGTTTTGTCGTCTCGTTCGGTTTCAGGACCAAACAAACTTTTCTGTTGTGAAAAAATGAAACGGTGGTGGGGTCTGAGCTTCACAGACCTTCCTGACAGCTGACTCCTGCTCCTGCATTTATTTGTTTGTAAATTTTGTTTCCTAAATGAATCATTGAAAAAGTGAAGGTCCTTAAATAATCAAACTTTTAGCAGACTTGAACGTTGGGCTCCATTTTGCTGGAGGAGAAAAATACAGTAGCTCCTGTAAAACACCTGGAGAACGGCCCGTGTTTAGTTTTAGCAGAACAGTTAAATCCAGCCTGTTGTAAGATTCCTACATGATGAAACCTTCAGATGAGTGAAGCTGCAGCTCTTAGACTGACCCTCTACCTTCTCCTTCCCGGTGGTGTCTAATACCTGCAGCAGAAAGCATCGACCAGTTTCACGCCTCGCCTCGACGACCACGACGACGACGGCGAGTACTGCGACGGAGATGGAGACGACTTCGGCGACCTGAGAGGAATCAACATGGCCGCGCTGGAGGGAGCGTGGTGCCCCCGACACATCTGACCACTGACCCCCTCCCCCCACACACACACACACTACCGCCAACACACACACTACAGTGTTAATGGACTGTCAGTTATTCAGATCTGATTGATGACACTATAACCCCCCGGATGACCTGAATGGCTGACAGACAGCAGGGGATTCTGGGACAGAGCCATACAAGGGACAGGATCACGTCGACTTCCAGCTGTCAGTCAAGACGAATGAAACAAAAAATGCGAATGAGTTGCAGTTTTCTAGTTTTCTTCTTCTCGTGTTTAAACTTTTCTCATGATGATATGAAAGTGTCGGATAAGCTCGGACAAGAAGGACGGGGCGGCGACGTCACCGCCGCCTCCTCCGCTTAAAGTGTTACCGCTGTTCTTCGTGATGCCGCTTCAGTTTTTCTTAATCACAGCGGGGACGAGCTGCAACTCCCAGTTTAGAGGTAGAAGAATCAGATTTGTACCGACTGATGCACCAATCAGGAGCGAGCTGGAGATTTGTTGTTGGTTCCTCCGTCAGAAGATTTGAGGTTCTAGAAATAATAATCATAGAGGTCTTTTCCACTGCAGGAACCTAACAGTGTGTTACACAGGTTCTTGTATGTTACGTTTCATATTAAAGGGGAAACTTAGTTAGTGGCTGTAGCTTTATATTTCCTGCACAGTGGGACTGATCGCTTCTTCAAAAGGTCACGTTTAGGAACAAATGTGCAACAAGATTCATCAGTTTAAAATCAGATACGACAAAGAAAAGCACCAAGTAGAGAAAACGATGATTCAATTATCTGAAGAGCTGCAGATTCATTTTCTGTTGATCCACTAATGGTTTCAGTTCAGGTCATAGAACCGTGTCTCTGTTGTCGAGTGCCTCACCTGGGCCGCAGCGGCAGGTGAGGCCTCGGGTGAGTTGTGGCTCTTCTGTCCGTCTCTGTTTGTATTGATGAGCTGCGTTTACTGACCAGTAGGTGAAGCTGCAGCGCCCTCTGCAGGACCACGGGGCAAACTACTTGAGACACTACAGTTGGTTAGTGAAGCTTTGCGCACATTGACAACAGATCACACACAGTAATTAACACAGTATCAGATATTATTAGACATATAAGCTAGTTTTCTTTTTTCTCACGCAGCTTCACATGAAAGGTGACAGCTGTTCTGCTGTTTGCAGAGAGTGAGGACACCGTCATGAGACGGACGACAGATGAAGATGATGGTTTTATCCACTGAGACAGGGACAAAATGTCCAGCTTCACTTTTCAAGACTTGATTTTCTAACTGAAATCTCTCTCCAGCGTCAGTCCACACAGTCAGACACACCTCATTCATGAAGGTTATTTTGGCCGTGGGTTGTACATGATCTTCACCTTCTGCGTGTTTTTTGAGTAAGAAAATCATTTAATCCATTATTTAATTAAGCTGATGCCTGGCTGCAGCCTCGTGCAGGTGGATGCAGGTGGATGCAGGTGCAGCGGTAAAGTGGCGGTTGCTGCCTCCATGTTGCTTTAAGTTCCTGCAGTGGAAGAAAAGGCTAAAAGTTGGTTTTCCAATCATGTGTCCTCGTTGCTTCAGAGCTTTTTTTTTTCTTTCTGAGTGACAGACATAGTGTGAATATCAGGAACAAACTTTGATCAGGAGAAGAAGAGGTGATGTCTCGTGCTCAGTGCTTCACGTTGTTTCCTTAAACTTGAGTTTATCACATAAAGTATTTTTTCTTTTGGAAGCGGGCTCCCCTCGTCAGGACGTGTCGTCACTCTCTGATGTGGTTGGTGGGTTTGTTTTTGTATGTTTTGGCTAAATAAATAAGAAATACTCGTGGCTGCAGACTGACTGTGTCCTGTCGTCACCACCACAGGGATCAGGTAAACACACACACGCACACACACACACACACACACACTTTAGTGACCTGAAATATTGTGGAAAAGAGTTTCAGTGGATCCTGAGCTTTCAACCACACCCACAGTCTTCATCAGTGGATCAGTTGTCTTCAGTGTGTAACATTATTTATTTATATTTCATAGTGAAGAAATATTCTGATCTTTTACTAAAGTACAACAAACTAAAAAAAACAGTTTAATTAAAAGTACAGAAGAATAATCAGAGCTATTTTCAACTACTTTATACACTGGGGCTGCAACTAACAATTAGTTTTTATTATTGATTATTATGCTGATTATCTTCAGGATCAATCGATTTAATCATTTGGTCAATTAAAGAAATGGTGAAAGAACAAACATCAAACATCTTCAGTTCAAACCCTTCGAGTCGTGAACCAGCAGAACTCCAAAAGTTAGGAAGTAAATTTCCTTCATTGGAATTTATAAAAGTTCAGAGAAAATACAAAAGATGTATCAACTAAAACTGTTTCCCATGACAACAGCAGCAGCTTCTTCAACAACACGTTTAATAATCCGAGCTGTAAAAAAAAACAAAAACTTTATTCATTATTTAAAGGAGCAGAATCAAACGTTTCTGTTGTGGAACTGAAACAGTCACTAACGGGTTTACATGAGCGTCACCAGGTCACTACATGTGAACAGGTGGAGGAGGTGTGTGTGGCCGTACAGACAAACGAGCTGCGTTCAGGACGATCTCTGTTTGACTTCTGTCAGTCTGTTGATATCTGAGAGATTCATTCATGTTGTTGTTGTTTTCTCAGAACATGATGGAAGACAGTTACACATGTCTGAACACGGAGAACTGACTGTTTTAAATGACAAGGATTTTTCAGGAAATGAAAAATACTGTTGGTATTAATTTTCTCGTCGTATCTTTCACACATTTTGTCAAAGCTGGCGTCATCCAGCCCTGAGTTCCTCCTTCCTCCCTCTCCACTCATTCTTCATCCTCGTCCTCTTCCTCCTCCTCTTCTATCACCCTCCCTGTTCTCCGTCGTTTCCTCCCCGCTCTTGTCTCCTTCCTCTCCTCTCCCTCCTCCTCCTCCTCGTTCTCCTCCCCCTCCTCCTCCTCCCCTCCTCCTCCTCCTCCTCCACCACCTCCTCCTATTCCTACTGCTGCTGCTCCGCCTCCTCCGCCCTCCTCCTCCTCCCGGGCGTTGCAGCGGCTGCAGTGCCTCCTGAACCCTCCCAGGTAGTGGGACCTGAAGCAGCAGAAGGGGCAGGCGTAGCGTCCGGGCCGGTGAGACGCTCTGACGTGCTGCTGCAGCCGGCTGGGCAGGAAGAAGGAGCGCTTGCAGTCCTTGCAGCTGTACGGACGCTCCACGTCGTGGCTGCGCACCACGTGACTGATGGCAAAACCTGCAAGAACACACACAGGTACAGGTTCATCCACAGCTGACACACAGGGAGGAGGCGGGAAACAGGCCTCCATGTTTACAAAGAGATTTGTCTTAAAAATGTTTCAGGACTGAATGTGGCGACAGATTTTCTCCTGACTTAGAGAAACCGCCTGAGCTCCAGTCACGTCAAAGGTTCCCTGGAGGGTTTTCTACCTCTTGTAGCTCTATGGAGCTTCTCTTCTATGAGCGGCTTCCTGTTTTATTTGTCATGCATGCACACTGGCTTCATGTCCAGGCGAGGACTCAAAGGTCCCGCCTCCAGCAGAGTGTTGACGTGTCTGACAGGAAACGTTACAGGTACCTTTGAGTTTGGTCTTCCAGCCACAGATGAGGCAGACGAAGCGGTTGGAGATGAAGCGCACCACCTTGGCCGTGGCCTCCATCTCCTCCTTCAGCAGGTCTCCGCTCAGCCCGGCCACCTCCTCCTCCTCCGCCGCCCCGCTGCTCTGCGTCTGTTTGGGTGGGGCGGCGTCCCGTCTGACGGCCTGGGAGGCGTACGCTTTGGGGATGTCGTGCTTCCTCACCACGTGGTTGACGCCCAGAGCTTTCAGCTTGTTCTTCCAGCCACAGATGAGGCAGCGGTAACCGGCGCCGTCGAACATCAGAACGCTTTCGTCTCCTTCAATGTTCCTCTCCTTCGCCTCCGGCCTCTGGGGGGCGCCGTCCTCTTCATTTCCCTCCCCTTCCTCCTCCTCCTCAGCCTCACTGCTCCTCTTTCTTTTCAGAGCATCCTTCCCTCCCTCCTTCTCCTCGTCCTCACCTTCCTCTCCCGCCTTCTCCTTCTCTCCCCCATCACTCCCATCATCTCCTGCCTCTCCCCCTCCTCCCCCCTCCCTCTCGTCCATGCAGTGTTTGGAGATGATGTGCTTGTACAGCTTGGTGAAGTCCCGGCTGGTGTAGAAACAGTCGGAGCAGTGGAACAGCCGGGCGGTGCCCTGGTACATCAGGATGTTGCCTAGGCGACCAACCACCACGCCATCCAGGCAGGCGGGGTGGGAGGCCGCCATGTGGGACAGCTGGTGGGCGTGGCTCTTGGAGAAATGGCCACAGTGGGGGCACTGCAGGTGAGCTGCGACGCCACCGCCCACTTCACCACGAGTTTGAATGATGACGGACATCGCTGCTTTTCTAGAAGCTGGAGAGAAGAAAACCGTCAGGAAACACAGTCAATGATGTAAAAACTTTAGATTAATGAGACATTTTCAAGAAAAAATGTATTAATATATTAATTAATTATTGATTATTTAAATTATATTAAATTAAATAAATATTTTAATTTAAATCTTAGTTTGATATTCAGTCAAAAATGACAAAGCAAATTGACAAAATAAGCAATTTGACATTTTTCACTATTTTCTAACTTTTTTAACAGACAGCTAATTAATTAAAAGTGATGCCATCCCTGACTTAGTTTATAGAAAATATAATGGAACCATGAAATACATAATATATGAACATCTAAAATAAAAAAGGAGACTGATTTTCTCACTATTTTCTGATATTTGAACAACTAAATGATTAATTGAAAAGTCCTTAATGAGAGATCGATCATTAGTAGCTGAACCTGAACATATTAACTTCTCTATATCTTATCTTTAGCCCCGCCCAGCTGATTCTCTCCATCACCAGACTTCTTTCAATTTACCGCAGTTTTCCCAAACACATGAAAGCAGAGGAAACACCGGGGCTCCTGTAGAACCGGCACTTCTCTGCGAAGTAAAGTCGCTGCTTCACACAGCATTCCGGGTTCGTCCCGGGATTGTGACCGTTTTATATTAACGGGAAACGTTATTTGGAATCAATGCGCTAACGGACCGCAGCTAACAGGCTAACTCTCCCGCTTCAAACCGCGTGTTAAACCGTGTTTCTCCGCCCACCTGCCTCTGCCGCCGGCTGCGTTTATCTGCACCGAAGCTCCACAGCCGGAACCGACAAGAAACGAACCCGGGAGAAAAAACTGAACCGTTTTAAATGTTTCTGTGTGTACCGGATCCACCGAGCAGCTTCAGCGAGCTGAGACGCTGCGGTCAGCTTCCGTGTTTACCTCCGGCACAGCCAATCAGCTCGCTTCAGCCGCCTGACGGCCGACCAACCACAATCGCCCTTGAAACCAAGCTCCTACTTATTAATTCATCGTTAAATTAATCATAATTAAAATGAATAATTAAAGTAAATGATCAGATATTATGAATAGGTTCCAGCCCTGTCGATAAAGTTTATTTTATTTTTAGACACATTCAAAACACCCACAGTAATCCACGAGAATTTAAAGCTGCTTTTTCTGTCAATGGTGGGAATTTTTAATTTTATTTATTTATGTATATTTCGGCTTCCGAAGGAGGACATGATGGAAAATGTCCCGGACCCACTGGACACAACGCGTCCATGAAATCTATTTATATTCTATTATATAACAACATGACGCAGATTTAAACACAGACAGAATATTCTCATAGATGATGTATCTGCTGAGTAACTGGGTTATCCTGTGTGTGTGTGTGTGTGTGTGTGTATCCAGGGCAGACTAAAGGTGATTAATGAAGCTATTTCTGTCCGGAGAAGCAAATAATACCTGCAGAGGAGGGAGAAGAAGAGACTACATCTCCCATCACCCACTTCAGTATGACATCTTTCAGACAGGTGTGTTTGTGTGTGTGTGTGTGCGTGTGTGTGTGTGTCCGTGGGAAAGAGAGAGGGAGACCTTTAAACCACCAGGCCGCCGTCTAATTGGCTGCTGGGGGAGATGTTTGTGAGGTCTGTTGCTGAGCGACGGTTGTTCTCAGAGGTGCACATTTAATGCAGCCGTGATAATACACAATGAATTACATTTATTACTGTAACGAAACACAGTCACAGGGAAGTAAAGTCAGGTACCTATGATAAAACATCACAATTTATTTGTTGGTTTTATTTTGTATTTTTCTGAAAATTAAATGTTGTGTTCAGTAAAAACTACAAAATTTCAAATCGTACTTAAAGATGGTGATAATTATAGTCTACTGCTGTGATGCATAGTTTCCTTATGTTAACCTGTGACAGTGCATCATAATTAAATTTAGTTTTATTTATGTGAATCTGCAAAGTAAAAAAAGTTATAAATTAATATAGTGCAGTAAAAAAAATATAATATTTCACTCAGGAGTGTAAAGTAGAAGAAAATGAAAATACAAGGGTCTCAAACTTATACTCAAATACAGTACTTAACTTTATTTATAACATGTAACTGTAAATTAAGAAAATAACTTGCAGCCTTATAGATCATTGGGCTTTTGTTTTGAAAAGCAGAACCAGAATTGGATCAAAACTTTATCATCAGGTTGAAGGTCAGCTGTTAGAGTTACAGTCTGCCAAAAGAGAGAGAGGGAGGAGGTGATGGGGGAGTGAAAGTTAGGGTAGAGCGAGGGTTGGTTTGAGTGAGGAGAGAGAGAGGGAGGGGGCTTTTATTGTGGAGGGAGGGGAGACACTGAGAGGGAGAGAGGAATCTATGTTTGAACTTGTGTTTTCCTTCAGTCTTTGTTAGCCAAGATTCACGTCCACACACACGCACCTCGGGCGAGCGAGGACGACATGCTCTGCTTAAAAGGTGAGAGAGGGAGGGAGGGAGGTAGAGAGAGGTAGAGTGTTTATGGAGAAGTTTAAAGAAGTTCAGGAAAATGCTGCAGATAAAAGAGTGTGCAAAATCGTGTATATGTGTGTGTGTGTGTCACCAAAAACTTAACCGAACCTCTGAAGAGTACACCAGCTGTGTGTGTGTGTGTGTGTGTGTGTGTGTGTGTGTGTGTGTGTGTGTGTGTGTGTGGTGTGTGTGTGTGTGTACTCAGATGTAGGTCATTTTGTCCGCTAGCTGTCAGGAATCTGTTAACACACACACACACTGTTATCTCCATAACCTTTTCTTTTTGTGTGTGTGTGTTGAAAGTCTTTTTTTTTTTTTAGGGGGGGGGGGTCTGTAACAAAGAGGGTCGAGCGAGCTTTACTTGAAGCAGAGAGAGAGAGAGATCCGTGCAGGGAAAGTGTCGAGTACATGGAGTATTTTCCAGAATACAGCTGCTGCAGTCCTTTGTGCTCTCTGTAACTGTTACTATGGTTACGGCTACTAATACTACTGCTACTACTGCGTGTACTACTACTGCTACTTCCAGTGCAGCTGCTGCTGCTGAAATGCTTCTCGCAATATTTTGTGTTGAAATTGAATCCTTGTGGCTCGTGGCAGAAGTGGAAGTTTTGGGTCAGGAGGCATGTGCATTCTTGAGTTTGACACGTGCAAGTAAGTGTGTGTGTGTGTGTGTGTGTGTGTGTGTGTGTGTGTGTGTGTGTGTGTGTCAGTCAGTAATCACTGCTGGCCTGTTGAGGCAAGCTGAAACATCCCATTCAGCTTCCAAACACAGCTGTTCTGCCTCTGTGCAGCACACTGAGGGTTTTGAATGGATGTGCAGCAATAACACGACAATAAGCAGCTTCACAGGTTTTCACTATTGAAACGGAGACAAAAGCTGCAACAGAACAAACTTTAATATCGTGATAAACTGGAGCTTTATTAGTTTTATTTTGACGGGCAGATTCATCCTGTCAATGTTGTGTTAACATCATCACACTTGCGATTGGAGTTTAAAAAGCACAACCAGACATATCGTATTTTAATCTGGTGCCTTCATTACCCACAATGCAACTGGAAACTCGACTGCTGACAGTTGGGTGGCAGTAGCAGTTTGTTTATTTAGTGTTGGGATGCATAAAACTGATAAATGATCAAATCAAGAATTGATAAAAGTAAAAGTATTTAAAATCAAAATGTAAAACAATGATTCACACTAACAGCAGGAGTCAGGAGTGATAGCCACGAGCTAACAGGCTAACAAGGATGGAAGAAGGAAACGTATAAAATGCAAGAAATAAATAGAAACCAATCAGCTCCTTCTGCAAAGTAACTACAGTTTCCAGATACATCCAGAGGAGTCAGAGGAACAGTAGAATCAAAGTAAAGTACCAGAGCAAAATAACTTCAGTTTTCTCCTCGTCCATCACTGACAGCTGAGCAGAACTTCACCGACTAGTACATGATGTTCATCTGAAAACACAAGTAAAACTGTCAGGACAGACATGACAGATGTTAGACTGAAGATTGATGTGACTCCTCTCTCTTTTGTGTGTGTGTGTGTGTGTGTGTGTGTGTGTGTGTGTGTGTGTGTGTGTGTGTTGGTCAGGTGACCACAGCATGACTGGCTGCACGATGAACTGATCATTAGATCAATGTGACTGAGAGAAAGACAGAAAACTCGTCTTTCACTTATTTTCATTTAAAGAAATGTGGTTGTTACTTTTATTCTGAAGTACTGGATTTCTTTGACAGGACAAATATATAGTTTCATTTTAAAGAAAAGTTTAATTTGACCAGTTTTTAATCAAAACAAACAGGAGGAAATATGAAGCATTTGTTGGGCACTATTTTCAGTAGCGGATTAATCCTCATTTGGTGCTGTAGTGAGTATGTGGGGCAGCAGGACTGAGGTAAACTAAAGTCCAAGTTTGGGATCTGATGACAGAAAACTAAAGACTAACTCTAGACTTATACTTTAAATGTTCAGGTGAAGGACAATGAGAATCTACGGTCGGACTCAACGTTGACCTTTAGTCGTCTGATTCTGTGATCCAAATATAGAATTACCCAGTGTGACACAGTAATACAGTATCAAGCAACGTGTGTGTGTGTGTGTGTGTGTGTGTGTGTGTGTGTGTGTGTGTGTGTCTTGAGGTAAATACCTGTCCCTCACAGGCCATCTGCAGACCTGGATAATCCCTGTTAGTAGCTTAGAGCTGGAGAGAGAGAGAGAGGAAACAGAGCGACGCACTGTCAACACTTCTGAAGAAAAGAAATCACATTTACCACTGAAATGTTTTTGGACTGGGATCGTTTCTGGATTTGTCGAGCCCGGGAGAGTTTTGGATTTTGGTTCTGGAGGTCTGAGGTTTTTATTGTGAAGGAATGAGAGGATGATACACGGAGATGCTAAAAGTTTTAATTTAATTTAACTGACTGTGAAAATACCTTTGGCAAGTTTTGAAGCTGTTACAGAGTTTTTATGCCAAATCTGGAGGCTCTTTTACTGTGAAATGTTTTGAGCTTTTACTGTGATGGACATTTTGAGGGATTTTATTTTAACGTTTCGGACACTTTTTGTGGAGAACGGAAAGACTTTTACGCTGTTACTGTGAAAAATGTTCATGCTTTCATTGTGAAGGCTGCAGAAACTTGGGACTTGTGTTTTCTTTGTCAACATTATGATGCTTTTTAGTGAAGGTTAATACTAGTTAGTGGCTTTACTCTTTTTGTGAATTGTTAAGTGATTTTATTGTGAAAAACTGACATTTTGGGCATTTATTTGAAGCAGGTTCTTAATTGGGGTAAAAAAAACAACAAATGTTACTGTGAAGGAAACATTATTTTTTAAAGGACTGAAGGCTTTTCAAATATTTATTTTGAAGAACTAAGGAAAAACTGGGCTTTTACTGTGAAGGATTAACTAAACATTGCTCCTTTACAGTTAAGGATGAAATAAATCTGGAGGCTTTTTCTCAGGAAAGATCTTTTCTAGAAGGACTGAAGTTCAGATATTTATTGTGAAGACACTCAGGGCTTTTATGATGAAGGGTTGGAAATCTTCTGAGGCTTTTATTGTGAAAAGATGAAAACATTTAGGAGGGAATAGTGTGAGTCTCGTGATTCATCTGTGATCTGTCCTGAGGGCGGACCCGGTCATCAATCAGCCAATCACCACTCAGGACGGGATGATTTCGTATGTGGAGTGTCTGAGCGGAGAGGGGGCGGGGCCTGGCATGGCGTCACGCTGCTGGAACACGGGTCCTGATGAAGAGCGAGATGAGCTTCTTCCGCGTAAGATGGCTGCCCTGCAACCGAAAACTGAGGGAAGTCTGCGCCGCCGCCTGCTCAGCGCCAAAATCCATCAGCACCATGACGCCATCTGGAGGATGAATGCAGGTGGCACCGTCGGCAAGCCGGGGTCTCCCTCAGGGGACAAAAAGCCCCTCCCACCTCACTTTCAGTATCCAGGCAACAGCCCCTGGTACCGCCCCCAGCACCTCCCACCACGCCCCCATGTTCACCCTTCCTTTACCCCAGAGCCTCATGGGAAACTATTCCTTGCTCCAGAGGCTCATGGGAAACCACAATCCCCGCCCCTTCAGCTGCAGCGCCCCACTTGCCCAATCCTCACCCATCGCCGCCGAACGAGCTCATGCCCCCCCACCCCAGAGCCCCGCCCCGGCTACACCGTGTCCGTCCCCTCCCCTCTCAGTGCCCCACTGCCCCCCAAGGAGCCGGAGGTGCCACCTCAGTACCGCTACCGGCCCGGCAAGAGGCGCCGGACCAACTTCTTCTGCTTAAGACGGCACCGAGGGAGGAGCTCCGGGCTGGAGGCCACGCAAACCACGCCCCTTCTACACAGAGGTACTGCTAGGAATCATGGGAACTACTACAACTTCTTATAGCACTAGCACAAGTAGTATCTGCTGTAGCTCTGTCTGGTCTTGAGTTGTCACCTGTCTGGTCCTCAGTGTATCCAGCTTCTCCTCTTTGGCCCAGTTTAACTCAGAATGGTCTCAGCTAACCTGGTTGGACTCTGTTGGGTCTGGAACCGTGTCACTTAGTCTGATTCAGCTCTTTTTGGCCTGGCTGATCCCAGTTAGCCTTGTTTGGCTTTATACGGTCCTGACATTTGGTCCTCGGTCCTACCAGCTCCTCTTGGTCCTGAATGGTTCTAACTAACCTGCTTTGACTCACTTTGGTCTTGAATTTGGTCAGATAGCCTGATTTGGCTGTTTTCAGCCCTGCATGGTCCCAGCTAGCTTGGTAGGGCTCTGTTTGGTCTCAAATGAACCACGTTAGTCTGTTTGGTCCTGGATGGCCCCCTTTGCTCTTATTGGCTCTGATGGTCCTCATTAGCCTTCTTGACTCTGTGGTGTCCTGGATTTCGATCCACTTACCTTAGTCTGGCTCTTGTTCCCAAATCCACCCAGAGTCTAGATTTGCCCTCTTCTGTTTATGGTAGCCTTAGTTTAACTTCACTGATGCCAGGTGTCCCAGTTTGGCCCCAGCTCCTGTTTTAGACCCAGTTTGGTCCTGAATCGATCCTGCAGCTCTTTCTCCCAGCAGACATTAGGACATGTCACAGCAGGAGAAGCACAGATGTCGCTAATAACATTAATGGTAATTAAGTTATAATTACTATCGCATGAGTTACACCTGTGTTTTTCCTTCCTTCACAAGTCAAAGTATCTGCAGTGAAAATGACTGTGAGTCTGGTCTGTCCCTGTTGGGTCCAGTTCTTCATATTTAAATGAGAATATTAAAACAGTCGCTCTCTGCCTGCAGATCTCTGCTGATAACACACACACTCACACACACTCACACACTCTGTGTGTTACAGTCTGATCAATAATGTATCACAGCGCCAGTCAGCTGCTATTCTCAGATAACAAACCAAAACACACAGAACAAAACCACACAGAGTCTCCATGTTCTGACTTAATTAACTCCCCTGTGTGTATAATCTCCTCTATGTGTGTGTGTGTGTGCAGGGATTAGCTGCAGCTCCATACGCTACGCTAATGACTAATTCCTGTAATAGCAGATGAACAGGCTTTAACATGCAACAGCTGCGACCTGTTAGCTTCAGCTGCTACCTTCAGCCTCCTAGTCCAGCTACAGCACACCTGGATCTGTGAGTGTGCCTCCGTCCCTCCTCCCGTTGTGTGTTTGGTGACGTTGGATTGGTTGTTTTTGACCATGTGTCATCGTTGGTTAATCCTGGTCACACCTGACTTCATTATTGTGTTTTTTTCTGATTGGACAGCAGAAAGAAAACAGACGCTTTCTGCTCAGAGTTCAGAGCTGGATGTATTTCGACTATATATACTCACTGTGACATAATGATAGTGTGACCTACTTACTGTCTAATTAATTAAACTAATTAAAACAGTGGAGAGGTGAAGACAGACGGACGGACGGACAGACAGGCTGTCAGGCACGAAGACAGAAGTAATTAGCTGCTCCACTGGCCCACATAGCTGGCACACTTACAGACTGGAACTGTCCCAGTTTGTGACTGGCGATGAAGGTGATGATGAAGGTGATCCTCAACTCCATCACCTACCATCAGCACTCTCTGTGGAACATGGAGCAGGTGTAACGTTTGTGTGTTTATGTGTACCATGCTAACACTGGACACATACATGCACACAAACACACCGAGCGTGATGTGATAATCGCCTGTTTGGGATTATTAAGCCTGAGCATCGACTGGTGCCAATTCCTCCGTTTATTATTATTCCTGAATGAAAATCACCTTTTTCAATCCTGTCGAGCTCCGTAAAAATGTACATGTTTTCTGGGTCTTGCACATTGGTGCGGCAAAATGGCTCGATAGCGCCACCTAGAAAATTTCAATGAAGAAAATATCATGTTTTACAATTTCATGTGCCCCTCCCAGCAGGTTGACCACACCCACCTCAGACTTGGTCAAAGCATGCTTAAGACCTCAATGATGCCTCAATGTGAAAACTGTGACTTCACAACAAACAGTATAGAGATGGCGAAAGATGCTAGATCTACCACTTTGCACAATCATTTGCAAACACGCCATTGTGCCGAGCCGCGGCCCCTCAGCTAGTAAAACATCCAATCGCAGATGGCCGATATATTCGTCCAGTCGCCCAATGCACCTGTCCGATTTCATCACTAAATGGTGAGGACTTTCATTTTTACTGCTTGGAATCAAACTTTTGTTTTTCATGAGAATATTTTTTGTGCATTTAAGATTTAAATGTTCTTGCTTTAAAACATGATGTAGGATTTAAACTCAGCCGACCTTTGTCCCTTTAGACAGAAGAAACAGTAATAGATGCCCTGATGTTCTGATATGGAAGATAATGGAGCAGCTGTGTTCTGTACTGTGCGTAGCTGGACACCTCGTTGTGCAGTGGCTGAGATGAGTTCTGTCCTCGGCCTTCATCCTGCCCCCCAGGCCACTCCTCCACCCCCCCACCTCCCGCCCACAGGCTGGTTTGACAAAGGTGGTGACAGGGTCATTCCAAATGTCCTCACTTTGAAAGCACGTCCTCACAAAGATAGAAATACAAGAACAGAGAGAATCACAGGGAGGACGGCGAACACAGAGCATAAAAGATGAACATCTAACACACACACACACACACACACACACACACTTTCAATTCTCTTTCTTCATGTCTCTTCATCTACAAAGCATCATGTTTCGTGTGTGTGTTAATGCAGTATTTGTGAGTAACCTTCATCACCTGGCGACACACATGAAGGACACACATGTGTTGGCTTCCTGCCAACATAGTGTGTGTCTGTGTGTGTGTGTGTGTGTGTGTCTCTGAAAATAAGAAAGGAAGACAGAGAGGTGGGTGAGGGACATAGGAACAGAACGGTGGCTAGAGAGAGAGAGAAGTGGGAGGAGAGCGGCGTTGCAGCGAGTCGAGCTGCATTACTGCTGCTGCTCGCCCGCTCTCTCTCTCTGTCTGCTGCAGCCTCAGGAGTGTGTGTGTCGAGTGTGTGTGTGTGTGTGTGTGTGTGTCTGAGGGAGAGTGTGGCGTCGTTATGGTTCTGATCGGAGCAGCGATCAAATCCGTCCTCAAATATCTCAATAAGACCAGAGGTGAGTGTGTTCATGTTTATGACCGTGTGTGTGCGTGTGTGTGTGTGTGTGTGTGTGTGTGTGTGTGTGTGTGTGTGATAATTAACTGGTTTATTGGTTTATAACTGCGTTGTTATGCATGTTATGGGCGAGAGAGCATCACTTGTACATGTAGAGAGAGTAGTTATATAGATAATATAGTTCTCTGAAGATGACCACATAAAATCCTGCTCTCTGATTGGCTGGCAGGTGTCAACACATGTTAACAGTTTAACTGTAGTTTAAGGTGTATTAAACTGCGTGTAGCCATAGCAACAATACCGTTAACTGACTCAAGGACCCCTGGAACTTTCTCAAGGACCATTGGAGCTTCCTGAAGGAGCCCTTCAACCACCTGAAGACTCCAGGACTTTTTCAAGGACCCTAGAACCTTTCTATGATCCCTAAAACCTCCTCAAGGACCCCGGGGACCCTCTCAACAATGTCTGGTACCTTCTCAAGGAGCCCCAGGGACTGGTCTAGGAGCTATTGGACCTCCTCAAGTATCATTTGCAGCTCTGGTACTTCACAAGGATGCATGGAACCAGCTCAGGGACTCCAGGAGCCTTTTCAAGGACCATTTAAGTCTCCTCAAAGACCACTGGGACCTTTTCGTGAATACCTGGAGCCTTCCCAAGTACCCCAGGAACCTTCTCAAGGATCCTCAAGCACCATGGGACCTCCACAAGGACTATTTAAGTCTTTTCAAGGACCCTGGGGATCTCGTCGAGGACATGAACCCCCTTATGGACCTCTGGAAGCCCATCTAGGCGTCAGGGACCTCCCAAGCACCATTTGTCTCTCCTGCAGTATCTTCTCAAGAGCCCAGGGAACTCCTCAAGGATTATTTGGTCCTTGTTAAAGACCATTTAAATCTCCTCAAGGACCCTTTGTACTTCTCAAGGATATCTAGGACTCCCTCAAAAACCCAGGATCTCCTCAAACAACCAATTAACCATCTCAAGAATCTCTGATTCCTTCTCAAGGACCATTTGAGTCTCCTCAACCATCTCTAGTACACTATCACTACTCAAGGACCACTGGTACCTTTTAAAGACCAGTGTAATGACTTTCAAACTTTATACTTTATATTATTGTCTTTGTTTTTGAGTTTCATCCTTGGTTTGTTCTTGATCATATTTTTATTAGGTTTGTATGTAGTTTTATCTCCAACAATGTCTCGTAAGTTAATAAGGTGTTTGGCTTTAATATTGATTTAAAGCAGCTTGAGTCTCATAGCAGAGTGACGTGATGTGTGCTGCAGTGTTGCATTGTTCAGCTAAATTGTCTTTTAATTGCCTCGTGATGTGCTGTGTTAATAATTCGTGTGTGTGTGTGTGTGTGTGTGTGTGTGTGAACATATAAATCACTTTGGACACTTTAGTCTCTAAATGAAATATAAAGTGTTTCTGTGACTGTGTGTCAGTGAGAGATGTTTGTGGTTTTATATTTCAGAGTTCAGCTTCCTCCAAACTGCAGAAAAACTGACACTCTGTCTTCACATCTGTCCACTAAATACCACAGCTAATCAATCTGCTGCTCCTTCAGAATAAAAGCCCTCTGGCTGTGTGTGTCTCTGAGGTCACCTTGAGCAGTGCTGAGTGCTGCAGCGCTGATCATCACTGTTCCTCTCTCTCTCTCTCTCTCTCTCTCTCTCTCTGTGTGAATGGATTTGCTGAAAAGAGATTAAACACAGAAACCACTCACACACTGAACTGTGCTTTCCTTTGTGTCTCTGCAGCAGGGGACAGGGACAGTAAGTGGTCTGTTCACTACACTACCCAGAAGCCTCAGCAGGGTCTGGTCTTCATCCCTGGGAAAAGACGATCCGGCAGCGCTGATGACCTGCGAGGTGAGAGGTCACAAGAATAACCACCAACACGACAGGACAGCTGACTCAGCTTCACTCTGCCGTCTTAGCAGTCACATGTGCGTCCGATAGACTGTCCCCCTGCAACACTGGCAGGTGGGAACCAAAGGTGTATCACACTCAAGGGGGTGCAAATAACCAACTTAAATGTGACACCGACAAATTATATATGAAATAATAAAGTACTGCGACTGATAATGATATTATATAATAAACTCAATGAAGTAATAGTAATTAATAATATAATAAACTCAAGTAGTATTGCACCACTTAAATTACGACACAAATTAATATGGTAAATGTATAATTAATGTGTACAATAATTAAAGTTACAAAAGGTTAAATTGTTTTCACTTTTGAAATCTTATATATATAATAAATATTTGGACATAAATGTAGAAGGAAACGCAGTAAACCTTTCACAATAATACATTTGAATGAGGGGTTTGAGTGATTATTTAGTGGCTGAAATAATCGAGCTTGACCAGAACATTGATCACGTCAACATGAACATCGGGTCCTTTGAGACGCTGTTCAGGAGCTTTTGATCGGCTCAAACACAAACTATCTGCAGGTCATGAAAAGTCTGATGAAGCACTGACTTCAGTTTCCTAAATAAGTGTTAAATTTGTTTCCAGCCTGACATCGAAACAAACCTCTGGTCTTATTTTTTAATTGGTTAATCCTTCAATACATTCATCCAGCTGTTTCCTGCTGTTTACCCAGGTCACATTTAATGATGAGTTAATTATAATATACCAGGAAGTAACGACAAAAGTGAAATAAATGTAACTAGAGAAACAGGAAGTGGTAAAAAAAGGTCTTGAAATTTAATTTATCTTTGTTTGTTGTCGTGGTGTTAAAGACGTTCTTGTCCATGTTGGCTTCATAGTTGAGACTGAACATTGATCGAGGGGTGAATCTCAACATTCATATTAATTTGATCATTTGCAGGTGAAACATTGTCAAGAATTATCAAGTAAAACTGAACTAAATTTGGGTAATAGAACATAACTGTAGTTTCAGGTTTTATTGAAATATTGTCTCTTATATTCTGCTTTACCGACCGGCCGGCAAAGTTAATATTAAATATAATGATGTTTTAAAACAGAAAACATTGAGACGTCTTGTGTCTGACGGTGTTCAGTCTTCACTCCGTCACCTTCACTGTTTTAATGCAGCTGTTTCAATCAGGATCAAAATGGCAGCAGCTCAGTATTCAGACATCATCCATTAAAATGAACGATCACAGAGAAAGTCTGAGTCGACTAAAGGTCGTCGTCGTCTTACCGTCACTGTCACACAGCTCCGCCTCTCTCTGAGCAGCTTATGTCATCGTTTAGGAAAAGCTCCGTTCTGCCCGAACACACTGAAGCACCAACGTTCACTGATGAACCTGCTCAGTGAGGACGAGCTCTGACTCTCAGCGAGTGAAACGTCTTATTGTCGCTTCAGGTATTAGCGTCACATCTGACACCTCGAATGTTGATGAAACACAAAATATAAAACTCTTATTTTGGTGATTTTAGCCCTGGATTCAGCTGATCTAATCATTACCTTTGACTATTGAATACTGAGAGCAGATTGCAGAGAGCTGCAGGTGTCTGCCTGCAGGACACACACACACACACACACACACACACACACACACACCCTCTCTGCTGGTGCAGACTGCATCACAGCAGCTGCATTGCCACATGTCACCCCCCCGCCCCAATTCACAGACAAAGGAGGAAGCTGCTCCTTTCATGTCCCTCAGTATCAATTAATGAATTTATATGATTGATTGATTGATTGATGATTTAGAAGAATCGGTATCATAATCAGACCCTTTTCCCCTGATTAATTGATTTATTGATAATTATTTTCATGTATTGAGTTGATCTCTAACCCAGATTAATGAAAAAGTTGATTGGCTGATTGATTGATAATTATTGATTATTTGCCATATAAGCATCAGTGTCTAATCTTGCGTCTGTTCGCTCTCATATGTGTGTGTGTGTGTGTGTGTGTGTGTAGCGTGTAGTCGGCTGACTCAGCATGGCTACAGCAGACCCACCAGCTCTCACCTCCACCAACCGAGCTCCGCCTCCCCTCCGTCCTCCTCTGGCCTGGACCAATCAGAGGGCAGCACACGCAGAGGGTGGAAGGACAAAAGCAGGAAGATGGTTAGTGACACACACACACACATACACACACACACGAAAACACAGTGACACACATGATATTAACGCGGAGCTGCTGTTAGCTCATGAATATTAATGAGGCTGAACACACTGCAGCAGAACAAAGACGTCTGCGTTAAAACAGCTGCAGCAAATCTGAACCACAACTAACTAACTAACTAACTAACTAACTAATTAACCAGCTACTAATTTCAGATGAATGCATCATCCAGCTTTACTTCTCATTATCTGGAGGCTGTAATCACGAGGTGTGATGTTGCTATGGATTCAATCTCTCAATCTTATCTTATTTAATTTAGTTTGTTTTTGTCTCATGATGTTTTTCTTTAGTTTTTTTCTTCATGTGTTTTTTCAGTGACAGTTTTATTTTTTCAGTGTCACTGGTTTTCACTTTCATCGAACCTGGTTCTAACCCAGTTTAATCCGGGTCTGATCTAAATCTGGTTTAGTTTTATCTCAGTTATACATCACTGTGATCGGTTCTGATTCATTCTGGTTCAGTTTGACCCGGTCTCACAGTCTCATCTGAAGAACCTGCAGCAGCAGAAACTTACTTTCTTTTGCTGCCACCTGCTGGTGAAACAGAGACACTGACACAGATCTTCTGTCATTGTTTTGTATCTGTCATCTTTGTCTTTGACCATAATCTGTCTCCTGTGTCCTGATCACATGATTTACTTTTCTTTCTACCTTGTCTTTCCCTCCCTCGTGGTTTCTCCTCCCCGTCTCTCAGAAATCCAGATGTTTGGAGTTTCTCTCTCACTCTTGCTTTTCAGTTTGTTTCAAGTTTTCAGTTTGGAGGAGAAAGGTAAACGTGGATCAAACTAGAGTAATTTAGACTAGACTAGAAGGAACTAGACTAAACTAGAGTCTGTCCTAGTCACTCCCAACCAGACTTCAGTCAGTAGACCAGGGTGAGCTCGACTCTACTGGGGTTAACGTAAGATCAAACAGGCTGAATCACAGCACACCTTACTACTAGTTTAAACAACCTTAAACTAGACTCTACTGGGGTTAAACTAGATTTAACTAGGGTGAAACTCCACCTGGTTAAACTAGACTCTACTAACTTGTTTCGTTTCGTTTGCTCTCAGTCGTCGGCCTCCTCAGACGAAGACGAGAGGTTCATCTTGAGCAACACACGACCTCTGACCCCGCTGGTCCTGAACCCTGTCCAACTCACCTCCTGCTGGGACGTCTTCGCCCCGGCGTACGAGCCAACCATCGACGTGGAGATGGAATCGACCCCCCGGCTTCCGACGCCGGAGGAGAGGATGAGGAAGCAGGCGGAGGCAGTTCCCGCTGATATCGTCCCGATCAATATCACAGGTAGGGGGTGGAGTCAGATCCAGAGCTGACCTGAAACTCATCATGACCTTTGAACTTTAATCAGACTTTGTAAACAGCCAGGACTTTGACCTGTTGAACTGTGTTTCTCGTCTTTCACACTCGAGGTGAGAGTTTTGATCGTCAGGCAAGTTTCCGAAGAACGGTTTCCAACGGTGACTCGTTGTCCCGGCGACCCCGAAAACTGAGCCGCCGCAAGACGGTTACCGGGATACCGAATGATGTCAACCGGAAGCCGGGTATGAGCTCCACCCATTCACTCACACATCCATTAATCAATCACTCAAAGGATCAATAGGTTGATCTCTCTCTCTCTCCGTCCCTCCAGACTCGCCTTCCGTCTCCTCCGTTCTTCCCGGTCAGTTCTCCACCGTGGGTCGACCTGCCTCCTCCTCCTGCCCCTCCACCCGCCAACAGAAGACCTCAGAGGAGGAGGAGGAGGAGGAGGAGGAGAAGCAGCTGAGTGAAATCAGAAAGGAGGGGCAGTCGTCGGTGAGGAGGATCCGAGCCCCAAGAGGAGAGGGGATATCCAGCCTCATGGCCTCCCTCACCTCCTCCCCACGTGTCGACTCCTGTCACAACCACTCCACCTCCTCTGAGGTCAGCAGCCTCCCGCGTCTGGCAACCAACTCCTCTCTGAACTCCGAGGCCAGCTGTAACAGCGCCTCCTGCAGGACCCTCAGTGCCTCCTCGTCCTGCTGCCAGGTCAGTGTCGCACGAATCATCGTCACGTGAAACTGAGTAACTGAAACAGAAAATAATCTTTTTTTCTCTCCGTCTCCTCCAGTCGCAGGATCTACAGGGTTTCCCCAGCGACCTCCAGCCCCTGCTGCCCTTCGACCACACCGCCAGAGTCATCCCACAGTCTCCTGTCTCCTCCTCCTCCTCCTCTCTTCCTTCCTCCCCCGTCACCCCCTCCCTTCCCAGCACCCCTAGCTGTGGCCTGCAGCCCGAGTGGTCTTACCCCAGCGACAAGCCCCTGAATGAGGCTGCCCAACCTCACACCTCCCCCTCCTCCTCCCACTACCTCTCCTCCTCCTCAATCGCAGACTCAGAGTCTCAGTTCAGTTACCAGGCTCTAGACGAGCAGAGCTCCGCCCAGCAGGACGCCACCTCCTCCTGCGATGGAGGCTCCTTCAGTGGGGAGAGATGGAGCTACGAGCTCCTCTCCCCCAGCTCCAGTGTCCACAGTGGTCAGACTGGGGGAGACTGGAACGGCATCACCCAGGAGACGAGCTGCGACCCCCTCCTCTCCTCCGGTCGCTCCTCCCCAGCGTTCACTGACAACACCTCCCTGTGCTCAGAGAGGATGATGACCTCCTCCATCTCGCTAAACCGGGAGAAAAGGAGGTCCAGCACCTCCTCCTGCTACTCTCGCACTCTCACCCGCAGCATCTCCCTCCGTAAGTCCAAGCGCCCGCCTCCCCCACCGCTACGCTCCGACTCCCTGAGGCGCCGGCCAGGTCGGAGCAAGTCCGCCCGGTCCTCCTCCAGTCCCCGCCAGGAGCACAGTCCCCGCCTGGAGCGCGCCGCCCAGCGGACCCCCACCTCGTCTCCGCAGACCTTCCATGACCCCTGGGTGCCCCGAAGTAACCCCAAGAGACGCCAGAGTGGGCTGAACTGTGGGACAGTCTCAACCTTTGAACCATTAAACCTCGACCCACAGGCGGCAAACTCTGCTGACCCCCCCCCTGAGCACCTCCCGCCAAGCCCCGGCCACTCCCACCCCCCTGACTTTACCCCTGGATCTCCAGGCTCCGAGGAGGAGGGGCTGAGATTCACTCTCAACCCCCACCCAGCTGCCTCCTCCGTGGGGGGGCTGCAGCGCCTCGCGTCGCCCTCCAGTGGATACTCCAGCCAGTCCAACACCCCCATTCCTGGCACTCCCGTGTCCTCCCCCCTCACCCCCTCCTCCCCTCTCACAGCAAACCCTGAAGCCTTCTCCCTCCCCCCGACCTCCCCCTTCTCCTCTTCACACCTGCCCGCCTTCCCCCTGTCCCCTGCCGTCTCCTCCCTGCCCAGGACAAGGTCTCGGGGCGAGGGGAGGCCGAAGCCCCCGGTGCCAGAGAGGAAGTCGTCGCTCTTCTCCTCCCTCTCCTCCTCGTTTTCCTCCACCTCCTCCCTCTCCTCCTGCACTTCCTCAGAGTCCTCTGCCAAGCATCCTCTTCTCCCTGCTCCTCCTCCTCCTCCTCCTCTACCAGAACGTTCCTCTCTTTCGCCTCCTGTCTTCTTCTCCCCCATTCATGAGGCTCCTCCTCTTCCTCACTCCTGCCTGTCTGCTCCTCCTTTCACCAAACTTTCCACTGCTCCTCCTTCTCCACCTTCATCTCTTCCTCCACCACCACCCCCTCCTCCTCCACCACCTCCTCCTCTCCCACCTTCCTCTCTCCCCACTCCTCCTCCTCTTCCTCCTTCCTGCCGGCCTCCTCCTCCCCCCTACTCCTATGCTGTCAGGCAGAGCTCCCATCATGCACTAGTGTACACTGTGTCATCATCAACCAACTTCCCTCCTCCCCCAACTTCCCCACCTCCTCCCCCATCGTCTCCTCTTCCTCCTTCTTCAGAGCTCCAAGAATTGCCAATCGCTGACCTTCCTCCTCCACCTCCGCCACCTCCTCTTCCTCCTATGACTACTCCCCCTGCCACCTCCCTACCCCCACTGAGCCCTGGTAGGTCTCCACACCGTCGTGTTAAAGTGGCCACGCCCCCTTCCCCCCTGGTCACCGCCCAAGCTTTGCAGCGCGTCAAGCTGCGCTCTATCAAGAACCCTGAAGCCCTGCTAACTAGCATCGTGGTGGCTAATGCTACTTCAGCTAATGCTACATCAGCTAATGCAGCTAATGCTACATCAGCTAACGCTACATCAGCTAATGCTACACTGTCAGCTGATTCCAACCAGGAACACACTGACCGACCAAGTAAAGACGCTCATCCAGTCGACTCTGTGTCGGCTAACGTTAGTCCTGATGGAACTGGATCATATGATACTATCTGTAATGAAGCTAACATGGCTAGTGCTTTAATGGCTAATGCTAACCCTCCTAGCCTAGCCAACACTGATGCAAAGCAACCTGGATGTAAATCAGAATATGATCACGATTACTACGACCTAACAAAAAGTGAGATGGTCGCCGAGTCAGCTCACACTGATCTGCAGCTACCAGGTTTTGTTCCCAGCTCAGCCAACCAGAGAAGCTCTGGGCCTCAGGTGACCACGCCCACAGACGTCCAGTCCGATGAACGAGGAAGGAAAGATTCAGACGTGTTGGCTACGCTGGCAAACAATCGAGTCTCCAGTCCTGACGGCCCCTGGGTGAAAATGCCTCATGGTTGTGACAAAAACAGCATCAACACAATCCCCCAGCATCCCTCTCTCCAACAGGAACAGGTCAAAGAGACGATGCTAGCAGATGCTAAGCTAACAGAGCCTGCAGAGGAACGAGGAAACACTGAGGATGTTCTCCACACTGACTCTTCTGTACGTGGTGCAGCTGACGGAGAATCCTCAGGAAGTACTGATGTAAAACAGAGTAATAACGTCTGTAAGACAAGCAGCCCGACGAAGCTCCGCTCCCCCGAGAAGCCCGTCCTCCCAAAGAAGCCTGATCTTTGCATCCTGGGTCTCATGGCGTCTCCTGAAGCGCGGCGAGGACCAGGTGGCTGGACGAGCAGTGGACAAATCACATCGCCTCTCTCTGGGCTCAACGACCAATCACAGCCTCCCTCTGATCCCTCCTGCATAAACTCGCACACACATCTGACCCCTGGTTCGCCGTCATTAAAGCACCTAACGTGCTCCGCTGTCGACAAACCTCCTGACAAATCACCTGCTGACATCACCACACTCTCACCTGCCAGCTCCCCTCAGAGGCAGAAGCCACCAATTCTGCACAAGAAGCCAGATCTCTCCCTGACTTCACCCAGAAGAACAAAACTGGAGGCACCCAAAGGCTCCTCTGGGACCTGCAGCACCCTGGAGATCGCAGGTGTTGCAGAGAGTCTGAGCACCACAGGGACCAGCACCTCGAGGACCAACGGGACCGCGGTTACCCTGGAGGACCGTGGCGCCTCAGGAGCGCCGGGCAACGTGGAGAATAGCATCTATGGGACCTGTGGCCCCCCAGGAATCATGGGTATCACACAGGCCTGGAGTATCACTGGGACCATGAGCACCTTGGAGAGCTGTGGTATCCCAGGAACGTGGGGAACCTCGGAGACGTCGAGCGCCATCGGGAACTCGTGGGCTCACGGACCGGCTTCTACCCGAACAGGTGGCACCCAGACTGGAGCGACGGACCCGCACTGTGCTGGGGTCATCGCACTCCAGAGAGACGATGAGAAAATGTTTCACAACAGGATGATGAGGTCATCGCTAGCTGGAGACGAGGAGGAAGCGGTGAAAGAACGAGGGATAAAGACGGCGATGATGATGATGATGACATCTACCTCAAAGAAAAAAGACAAAGCAAAGAAGAGGAGGAAGAGGAGGCCGGGCAGACAGCTGCTCATGATGTCATCAACAATGGCGCCCTCCCCCTCCTCGTCGTCGTCGTCATCATCTTCATCCTCATCTGGGGATGAGCGAGACGTGGTGAGAGAGAGAACGATGCAAACGAGCGAGAGAGTGAGAATGATGAAAGTGTATGAGCAAGAGACGAGCGACTCTGAGAGCTCCTGCGCTCTGATTGGTCAGAGCAGGTACTCCCTCAGCAGTGCACTGTCCACTGACAGCCTGCGGGGGGAGCTGTCGCTTCCAGACCTCCTGATACGGGAACCAGAGGAGTGCGAAGAGGAGGAGAGGACCGAGGAGGGGGCGAAGGAGGTCGGGCGAGCTCCGGATGGTGAGTTGTGTTTCCCGCTCTGTGTTTAAAGAGCCGAGTGAGTGATGTCACATCCGCCTCTAACTCCCCCTCTGTGTTTTCCCGCCCCAGCTGATCTGTTTGTGAGTGTGTCGGCAGATCAGATGTTCGTCTCCGGTCGACCGCGGACCACAGAGGATCTATTCGCCGTCATCCACAGGTGGGAAACACAGGATGCAAGTATATAGATTATCTTTATCATCTTATTTCTTATTCCGAATCTTTGCTGTCACACTTCTATTCTTTAGGGAGCAACTGTAATAAGTTCCCCTTGGGGATCAATAAAGTATTCTGATTGATTGATTGATTGATTGATTGATTGACCAACCCATACTCACTAATCTGCTTGACCGTTCTCTCTGCCGCTGTGGAGCAGTGCAGTATGGGAAGGCACAGCATGAATGGCCTTGTAGTCGGGGACTGGCTGCAGGTAAAGATATAATGGGTCACTGGATGTGGTAGATGGAGTGAAGGTAGTTTTAATTAGATAAATCACCAAGAGTATCCCGTTAACTTCCAGTCGCTGCCCCTCCCTCCTCTGTTCCCTAAATAAGAATCTTCTGTGTTTCCTGTTCACGAAAAAGCTTCTGGTCCCTTGTTCCCCGACCTGAAATCATCTCCTTTCTTTGTTCCCCAGCTAGTGAACCTCCTTCTTGCTCTGTAACTAAGAAGCTTGTTCTCTGATCAGACGCCTTCTTGTTTTCTTCCTTGTGATTAAAAGCTTCCTCCCACAGACCTTCCTTCCTGTACAAATGTTTCCCCGCTCTCTCTCTCTCTCTCTCTCTCTCTCTCTCTCTCTCTCTCTCTCTCGTTTGGCGGGTGAGGCAGCAGCCGGGACTCGGGCGTCTTCTTCCAGGGCGAGAATGTGATTCGTCTTTTTTCTGTTTGTTTCAGGTCCAAGAGGAAGATGCTAGGAAGAAGGGATGCAGAAGATGATGGACATCGCATCTCGTCTTCGTCGTCCTCCTCCTCTCCCCCGTTGACTCCCACTGACCCCCTCCCCCGCCCAGCGCGACCTGCAGCCCTCAGAAGTCAAAGGTCAGCGAGGAGTGAGAGCTTCAAGGCGCTCCTGCTGAGGAAGGGAAGTCGGTCTGATTCGTCATCGAGAATCTCGGCTGTTGAGCGGCTTCGCAAAGTTGCTTCTCCCACGACCTCGAGCGACCTCCAGGGAGCGCCGTCACTGCCGAGACCACCGGACCAACACCAAGTCAAAGCCACAAGCTCGTCCCTTACCTCAGATACACATGACATCAATGCCCACCTGACCCTGGACATACCAGCGTCTCCCACGTCTCCGTACAGTCAGGACTTATCTATGATGTTGGGTTTGAGACAAAGGGATCTGACACATAATGGCCTCCTCTTCACAGCCTCCTCCTCCTCCTCCCCTTTCTTCTTCCTCTCCTCCTCCTCCATGCGACCTCGCTCCCTCACTCCTCCCTGCTCGGGCAGCCGGCGCTTTGCCGCTCGCTGCCGCTTCTTCGCGGCCCCCATGACCGCCATCTTTGAGGGGGACAGTGAGGAGGAAGAGGAAGACGACGAGGTGTTCGCCAAGTCGTCGCCAGGAAACCTTCCAGGAGCCGACGGAGAGCTGAGCCAGAGGTTGGTCGAGATCTCTTGATGGAAAAGGTTTATAGATGCAGCTGCAGCGTGGACGGACAAATGTACCTGAACGTGACGATGTCTGCGTCTCCTACAGATCAGGTTTACAGCTGACCACCAACATGCTGTTGGACTGAACTGGATCGGACTCAACTGGATCGGACTGAACTGGATCGGACTGAACTGGATCGGACTGACTCGCAGCCTGGAGCATTTAATTGAATTTACTGAAGCACACTTGGAAACTCTCTGATAAAGGACGTGTCGCTAGTTGCCACATTTATACGTCAGAAAACTACAGAAGCCTGAACAGGACATGCGTCTAATTATCCCTGATGTTTTTTCTAACGCTTGTTGAACCACGATCTTAAGAAAACAAACTCGTTGCGATAAAACTATAATTTTTTTGTGAACCTGGAAAGTAACCGACATCTCCAGTTAACGAACTTAATTTAATCATATTTGCTTTTGTCCTTTTTCTTGCTTGAACAGACACTGAACATATTTATACTCATATTCATATTTTCTTGTGACTGAAAGTGTCCGTCTTCTCTGTTCAGTTTGTGAAGTTGATATTTGTTCCCGAGGACGTGGGATTATTTTAATGCTGAGGAGAAACAGATTCATGATTTTCACATAAGAAGCTTGTTTTCTTGAGATCACATAGTAAATGTTATAATATAGTACAATAATAATAATAATAACATGTTACGCAGCTATATTTTGAAGCTTATCCCAAAGTTTTGGCTGTTACTGATGCAGGATTCAAATAATACTTATATTAAAGTGGTGATCAGACGCATCTTAACAGATTCTATTGAATTAGCAACCTGACGATTATTGGCTTTATCTTCGCAATACGTATTGAATCAGCCGCTTCTGATCAGCGGCTGTATGAAAGATAATGAAGCTCTTCATTTTAAAAAGCATGACCTTGACTTAAAAAAAAACAAACTGTTAAACTCATTAAAACTCAACAATAATAATATTTTAACATTTAATGCAAGAATTAATTTTCACATTTGAGGTGAAATTAGCAGTTACCAGATCTATGTCAAACAAACGATCCATGACATGTAGGAAACTCTCCAGCAGCTACCGGCTGCTAAGTTCTTGTTTTAGACAGAAAGCTGAAGAGTCTTGATTTGTTTAACTGTGGAAGAAAAGATGATGAAGGTCATTTCAGTTGCCCATTGATTGAAAACCTGAACCGATCATTTTAGCATCTTTCTAAACTGTAAAAAGCCGTATCATGCCGCACATGACAAAGCATCTTTTTAATATTTCTATCATGATCTCGAACAGTGAGATTGAATTAAAGTAAAAGAGGAAAGTGAACTGGAAGGTTCAGTCCCTCTTTATTATCATTATTATTAATATTTTAATATTTTTATAACCATAGCTTCCTCTCTGAGATCAGGCAGCACTGGAAATATTCCAACAGCAGCTCCTGTTGATGTTGACATTATTATTTACCATTTTATATGTTAGTACCAGCTACACTGGATGACACTGTATTTAATAAGGGATGTAGTGTTTGCTGTACTGTAAATAATCCTGTTTCATCTTCTTATCATGTTTTCTTGTTTCTACATTTGTCTTTATGTTGCTGCTGCTGCGTCTTCGTTTCTTTTCTGTAGCGTTTTTCTTCTGCTTCGGTCTCCATGTTAATGGAGCCTCAGATCTGTTTTTCTTTTTCAAAGAAAGTAGCAAAATATCAGTCTGAATGAGGATGTAACTTTATACGGTGGAGACTTTGAATCTAGAAACATAATTATCTTCTCTGTGTGAATGTACGAGGTTCAGATTTACTCTATTAACCAATAAATGTATACGATTTAACAGGGAATCTGGAAGTATGGAGAACGAGTGAAAGAGAGGTGGGCGGATGTAAGTAGGAGAACAGGGGAAACTGAATGAAAGTGTAGAGAAAGGCAGAAGTCAGAACAACTGGAAACATTTATATGTAAATAAAGGTAAGTGTATGAGATGGAGAACTGGAAGCAATAAAGGACAAACTGAATTTCTGAAATGTACCAATTTGGTTGTTTGTATTTTTTATTTCAAAGGTGAGTGTGGATGACATTGAGTTTTGCTTGTAAATGTACTTTGACATTCATGTGTTGGCACTTTAACTTCAGTAAACTCTCTTAATACTCCTACCACTTTTCAGCATGCTCCTCCTTTGGCCACGCCCCCAGTTAGTGAAGTCACAGCAGGTGTTTTCCATCAGCGCTCAGAGGTGAAAACAGGTGCTGGAGTCAGACAGGTCGGAAACACTCAACACTTGAATGTTTAAACCTGCAGAAGAAGAAAGTTAGCCGCAGTTGAGCCGCTCCTGAAGGTAAGTGTGTGGTGGATACCATCATGAATCAGGGTGCAGGTTGCATCTGTGGCCACTGGGTGGTGCTGTGGATGCGTCCCGGTTGTCCAGAGAGTTCAAAGCTGTTTAAAAAGACCGCTGCCTCTGTTCCCTAAATTGAGTCTGTCAGGTGCTGCCTCCTCTCAGGCTGTTTACAGCTTCAGTTATGACTTTGTGTTGTTGCACGTGGTTTGGAGGAGGTCCGGAAGGAGTTGGAGGAGGTTTAAATGGTTCTTGACCAGTTTCAGGGGCCTGTGAGGAGGTTTAAGCGGGTGATTTTACAGATGTTATGATGAGGTTTCAGTAGTTGTTGCATTTTTATGGTTCTTGGGGAGATTTCAGTGATCTTTAAAAAGCATTTAAGATGTTTTACGGATGTTCAAGAACTTCTTAAGGAGGTTCGACAGCTTTATACGTGTTGTTAAGGAGGTTTGATGGACTCAGATTTCAGTGGTTCTTCAGATTCAGTTGGTGCTTTGGGAGGTTCCACAAATTCATGATGTTTGAGGTTCTTCATGAGGTTCTTCATGAGGTTTCAGGGGTACTCAAAAAGATGAAAACTGTTCTTGAAAACATTTCTAGGGCCTTTGAAGAAGTTTGTTTGGTCTTTGGGGATGGTCCTGTTACTGAGTTTCCTGTCCTCTTCGGACTTCTCTGAAAGGTTGCTGGGGAGGTTCCAGGTGTTTGTGTCGATGTTCCACTCGTTCTAAAGAGGTCGTGGATGTTCTTAATGATCATCCAGGTTAATTTGAACAGATTTAAGAGCTCATCATAGGTATAGACTAGAAGGTTGTGGTGTTCCTGAGGTCTTTGAGGAGGTTTTAGAACTTCTTTAAAATGTTTATGGGTTCATGAGGAAGTTTGAGAAATCCTTAAAGAAATCGGAGAGTTCTTTGGATGTTCTCGAGGTTCTTGATCCGGCTCACTGGCTCCACGAGGAGGTTACAAGGGTTCTTGATTGGGTTTGAAGGGTTGTCAGATTTTAGATGCTCCTGAGTCGGTTCTAGAGGCTTTTGAGGAGGTTTTAGGTTTCACAGTGAAGTCCATGAAACAGTGAGTGGGTTTAAGGTTCTGCGACTGAGGTTCTGAACATTCTCATCTTACCTCTTACGTCCACCCATTATTTTCTAACTTTCTCATTAAGCTGTTGGTTTTGAATCCGTACCTGTGCTGAGAGACGAGATTAGTTTTGTGTTTGCTCACCAGTTTTGTCATTAATGAACTCCCATAAAAACCCTTGGTACTCTGTCCTAACTGAGACTTCCACGAGAACAAGCGAACAGTGTGTTCCCTGAACCGCCGACAGCTGTGTATTTGTGTGTGGAAGAAGTCAGATGAAGCAGTGAGACAAATGTCTGTATTGTCCGATTGATGCAGCAGTGTGTCTATCCTGGAGGAATAACAGAATATGAAATGGTTATTATTGTGATTATTATGCTTTTGCCTCCGAACTCGGACAAGAAGGACACGAGACGTTTTATTTATGGCAGCCCCTGGTCGAGGTCTGAAACCAGGACACGTGTGGCTGCCGGGCGAAGAAGCTGAGCAGCTGCGCGGTGGTTAGTTTGGTGCCGAGGCTTCAGAGCCGGATGAAACAGAATAAACCATCTGGGCAGAAGACGGAGAGCACACAGAGAGTTAATCATTCAGACAGATTTATAGAGCTGTAATGGTTCAGACGTCTCCACAGTCTCCATGGACACACAGTTCTCCATGACCCTGTGTGACCTTTAACCCCTGTCTGTGTTTAATCCGTGTCATTAGGAAGTCTCAGAGATTTTAATTGTGTGACTGTTGAGCCAAAAACATCAATGGTTTTCTTATTCTGTTATTCTTTTCTCGCTTGTTGTAATTTTTTCTTTTCTCCTTTTTCCGGGATCGTTTGTTAAAGTCTGTGACGGTCAAACAGTCAGTGGTGTGAGGGAACTATTTACATTTACTACTTTACTTTCAGAGGGAACCACTGCACTTTTTACTGCACAACGTCTGAGAGCTGTTATAAAAACGCAACAGTGAAGACGAGTAGAGCTGAAATGACGGATAAATAATAAATGTTTAAGTCATTTTCCTTGTAAAATGCAAAACACTTCACAGTTCCAGCTTCATAAATGTGACGATTTTCCTTATAGTTTGATTTTTTAATTATTTTAAAGTTTCGACTGTGGATTTGACAAAACAAGCGTTGGTCTGGCGTCACTTTGGGTTCTGGGTAATTGTGACTGCATTTCTTTCTCTGCAGCTCAATGCAGTTTTATTTATACAGCACTAAATCATAACATACATTATTATATATCATATATGATATAGGATCTATTTTGGTAAATAAAAGCAATCTGCTCATAGCATTAGTTGCAGTCCTGTACAGAATAGTTAAACTACAGTAAAATCCTGCTTTTATATTAAACCATAAGTAATAACAAACTAATGATATAATACATAAGAGTAAAACACAGGCTCATGTTTCTGAGCGCTTTGACTTTTAATACTTTCAGTACATGTTGCAGATCAGACGTCTTCACATCCTCTGACTTCAGTAACATCAGAGCAGGACAGTGTTTTTCTTACAGTGTAGTATTAATACTTTTATTCGACTAAAGGATGTGGACATTATCAAGGTCGATGAAACCAGACGCATCAGAACAGGTGAGATCACACGTCTCACACCTGGTGTTGTTTTTGGCTTTTCTATTAATCACATGTGTAATTGAGACTTCGGGTAAA